GCTTTTCTCATTGCTTTACAAACTGTCAACGATTCTCATTTTAAATAATTGGAAAAGTTTTAACAATTGAACAAAACTTGGAAAAGACAGTTGCCACCATTTAATAAATTAGTTTTGAAAAATATATTTTAATTTAATTGCTCAAATTTTTTCCTGCATTTAAGGGTTTAATAATTATAAACAAAGTTCTGACCCTATTAACTTTCTATTGTTCAGCAATTTGATTGCAGTAACAACAAATCTGACCAATCATTTGTTGTATCCAGCATTATATTGCGAGCTGGTTTTGAACAAAGTGCGTGCACAGTAAAAGTTGATATTTCCCCGAATAATCACCGGGACAAAAGATTCAATTAACGAATTTTCAGCGGCAAACAAAAGCCAAAACAATTCCCGACAGGCAGAAAACCCAATAAAATTCAACCACGTCCAGTCAAAATACGTATACAAAACGAGTGCTGCGGACGCAGAGCAGCTCGTCGATAACAAACCTCAAACAACAACAAAACAATTTTTATCTCTCCCTTTTGCTTCAAAGCACGTCAGATCAATTCAATTACACCGAAATCTGCTCGGCCGCAAAATGCTAGCTGCTGATTAAACAAATAAAAGCGGCGGCGGCGGCTTTTTCAATCACTTGAACCTGCATTGTAATATTGATCTGGTGGCAACATTTCGCGCGCTTGGGGTCCATTATGCGCAAATAAATTATTATCGAAGCTGCTGATTGCGGTCGGAGAGCGTGTTGTTATTATTATTTCGGCGGCACCGAATAAACCGACCGACTCTTTGCACTGTTGTCATGGCAAATGTTGATTTTGCATCGGCGGGTCAGTCCGAACACAATGATTGCATTAGCCGTGGAGCTTTTGTGCAGGCCTTACATGTTTAGTTGCCAAATTCAGACACGCCGATTTAATCACTATTGTTTGTGCGCGCCACCAAGCATTGTAATAATAATCATTTCCGCACCCCCTCGTCATAATTTGTATTAAATTTTATTGTGCCGACGCGAAATATAATTATTCCAGCTCCGTGATTGCACACGCGAGAGAATTATTTTAGCTCGTAATTTTAATTGAAAAAAGCTCCATCGAGAAAAATCGAGTTTCTATGATTTGTGTCTTGGACCATTTATCTCTTCGCTGTGGGATTTTTTCTCTCCTACATCGCAGCGCTCATTATTCATGTGTTTGGACAAATGAGTTTTTTCCTCCTGGACCGCCCAGATTTCGCCTGACATCAATTTTTCCTGACGTCAAATTAATTACCGCAGGCATTTAAATGAGACAATGAATTTTCGTTAGCATAAAATTTCGAATTTTTAACTAGTTTCTAAAAAAAATTGGTCAAAATAATAATAAAAAAATTGTCAATTTTAATTATTTTTATACTATAAAAAAATTGTTTATTTTGTTTGTGAATTTTAAGGTTTATAAATTGAAATTTTGCAATATTGAATTATTAATACTTAATAATTAATATTATAATATTATTAATATTAAATAGATAATTAGAAATTAAAAAGACCTGAACATTCCACCTAGCGAACGTTTCTCATTTTTACAAAATATTGAACTGCCATTTTTTTTCGTCGTTTGATTTTGCCCTTTAAATCATTCATTTTATTTATTTACGATCTTGTCATTCAAGTCTTTTTTGATTTGCCCAAAATCATGTTCTGCTGAAATTTGCGCTTTTTATTGTCAGGTTTGATGTTTCGGTTTTTTAAGCCTGCATAGAAAATCAGCGGAAACTTTGGCCTCCCAAGAAGTGAGGTGCGAGAAACAGGTGCCTTTTCGCCAAAAGGGGAGGCCGATTGCTCCGTCCGTCGTTCGGTTTCTGTGTAACTTTATATGCACGTGTGTGGGTTGGAAAAGGACAAAACACACACACAGAGCAGAGCACAGCCATTAGAGTTTCTTCCTTTCTTGCTTGCACCCCCGGCTCAAAGGGCTGGTCATTCGCCTTGTAACTCGATATATTCCGCGGCGGCGGCGGCGACAAACGCAAACTGGGCTGGGGACGGCAACTTTTCCCTGTTGGCTGGCGACCGGCAGCACACTTCATTATGTCTTTTACCAGATTACAAAGAGCAGGGGCACGTCGCCGTCTAATTTTGCGGCCAGCTCCACTTCACGGACATTATAATATTCCCGGCCGCGATTCTATTTCAAAACAAGGTAGAGTTTCGTTTAATTATAAATCAGAGGGATTCGTCCAAGAGCACTTTTTAAGTTGAATTGACCAATGACAGACGCACAGAAATACTCATCAAAGAGATAGAGAGTCGTTGGCACGCCAGCTTGCTTTTTAATTAGAAGGAAAATCGATTTTCAGATAATACTCTTTCAGGTCAAATTAATTTTATGCAATATGTATTATTTTGAAAATAATTATCTTTTAAATATTTTTTCTCTCTCCCACCCTTTAATTCGACACGTGTGCTTTGGGTTGGATAAATTGCGTTGAGCCGTACATTTACGTGCTCCGCTTGTAATACATAATGCAGAGAGTATAGAGTGTGGATGTAATGATATCCTCCCTTTCAATTCATTTCCGTTCCAAGCACGCGCCGCTCAAATTCGTGCCCGTAAATGTTTGCATAAGCAACCGTGAAAGAAAGGCAGCAGCGGTGCCGAGAGAAGGAAATTTGGCGCACAGGAAATTGCCAGCGAGTCGTGTGGCGTGTCACTTGTGTTTTACTTTTTCTCGGCAGACAAGCATTAAAGGGTAGACCACACATGAATTAAATTACACAAATTGATTTTATAAAAGCAAAAGATATATAAAAGTTAAAACATTATTAGTATCAACTTTATTATTATATTATTTTTTAAATTAAATTTGATGAAGCATAATTATTATTTTTTAGTATATAATTATATAGTTAATTAATATTTTTTTTAAATACTTGATTATTGAAAATATTTAAGTTTCTTGTGTATTTTTGTCTTTTTACACGGTTAGGTGATTACATATAATTGTAAATAATTGCTAACTAAATGTTTAAGTATTGAGTGGGTAGCTTAGCTACAGCAGTGATAAACAAATTTATATATTTATCTGTTTTCAGTTGGGCTAGAATTAGTATCTATTTTATTTAATGATTTTTGACTCATTATCATTAAGGAATATTAATAAAAAGACGAAAACACACAGAATTTTTTAACCATTGAAATTTGAAAGTTGGTTCTCCTTTTCAAAACTGCCAATCAATTTTGAGCTCAATTTCAGCTGCACAATGAACCGATTGTTTTCACACGTCGCCCGCTCGTTCCGATTATGATTGCGATTTAATTGCTTTTGGTGTGGGGGCGGCTGTTGGTGCCACACGAGAGAAAAACGAGGCGAAACACCACTGCCGGCGCTAAAGTTATCACTCACTTAACGCTGCGAGTCCGTCGGTCGGACTGTTGGAGCATTTAGCACGCAGCTCATCCAAATTAACCCCCGCGCGCGTTGCGGGGATGATTTGTTGTGCAATAAAGTAACAAGCACGAGATAGATAGAGAGTCAGTCAGCCAGCCAATGAATATAAAACTCGATCGCCCCCAGCACGGCGCGGATAATTAATCTGACTGATGCCAATCACATTCGCCTGTCCATTTATATTATTTGCAATTTGCGTGGCGGCCGCAGCGCATTTGTTTGCCCAGCGATAATAATTGTTGAGAGAGGAGGAAAGATAAATAAAATATGATGATAACTGCGCTGAAATTCGATATTTTCCGATCTCAGCCCTCCTGTGCGTCCTCCTGTTTTATTTGGCCAGTCGTCTCGAAAATGATCAATTACGTGTCTGCTGCTGGACATCTGCTTTCCCCTTCTTTTCGCAAAAGGGGGCAAACGAAATGACCAAATAACAATGCTTGCTTCTAATTGAAGTGCTTGTTATTTTCCATATTTATGTTTATCAATTTTTTTCTTTTTAATTGTATATTCATCCTAATTACTTGAGAACATAATATAAATATTAAATTACAAGAAAGCTCCAACAAACGCTGCATAAACAGAGCTTAAGAAATTATTAATTAAACTTCGTCAGTTCATAACTGATAAGTGATCGAAACAATAAATATATTATATGAAATTTGACTGCTTTAAGTTCATAATCATATTTTTCTAAATATGTTTTAAAAATTTTTAGTATAAAACTAAAGCGTAAAAAATGAAATAATTTTGATAAATAAAAGAATAAAAAATGAATGTTAATAATAAAATTAAAAATTGTTTTAAAATATAATCATATTTTTTTAACTCATATAAAATAAAAAGTCAGTTATAAGTTATTTAAAAAAATATAAATTAAAAACAGTCTTTTACAAAATACTAAAAATCCAGTTGCAGGCTATAAAAAAAAGTTTTGGTGTGTTTTGCCTCTTCCTTCTTCGTCGCAAATGTCATTAAGCGAGATTACATTCGCCGAAAGGGTGACTTCTGGGCGGAGTGCAGAGTTAATTTATTTGACTTTTGGCACTGCTAGGGCGTCCAAAACAACCCCTTCAGTCAGGCGAAGACAAAGGAATTTATAGCTTCTTGACATTTGCAAGTACAAATGTCAAATAAGCTGCTAGTACGACTTCCTTTTGTTCTAAAGCCCCCAATAATGCCCCTTGTTCGCCTGTTATTTTTCTTCTTCCCTCGTCGTCTCCCCTATCGAGACTTTTTTCTGCCAGTCGAGAGACTCTTTAAGGTGTGTAATACAACAACCCTCATCACAATTTTTTCGTCATTCTTTTCTCTCTGCAGAACATTTTTTTTTGCATTCCCTCTTTCCTCTCTGAAATAGCTTATAATGTCCTTATGTTTGGGAAAAGATTCTCCTCTTGCTACGCGATATTTAAAAAGAGGGAAGAATTTTTTCTGTCATGAGATGAGGTAGTGTTGACTCAAAACTCTCCAGAGAGCAATAAAAAGTAAGACAAAAGACGTCAAAACTTCGTCTTACTATTCACCACCGAATATATAAAAAGGCAAAAAGTAAACAGGGCACTTACCTCTAATTTTCTGTTCATCCATAAGTTGCCGCTCCAAACTTTCCTTCAATTCGCGCTCACGTATAACGTCCATTTTTAGCTCAGCTGAAACAAAAACAACAAATTAAACTTTCAACTAACATTGAAGCTTAGAAAAAAATATAAATATATTTTTCTTAATTTTAATTCTTATTTTTGTACAGAAGAAAGTTTGTGTTTGTTTATAAAGGAGAAAGATTTGATCCCATATATTATATTCGTACAAAGTGTTTATATTTTCTCTGCAGACATGATTAGCATAATGGTTGATTGCAATGCAAACACGGTGTTTGTTGTAAGGCAGAAAACACACGACTGCTTCCTAAGAAAACAGTATTATACAATTCACATTCTGAAAATAAGACGCACCACTTACTTAATTCCGGAAGTGCGTGGCGCCCAAGTGCTGCATACATTTGATTAATCAAACAGCCGTTTTCTTGCGCATGTCTCGCAAGCCAAATAGCCGGCGGCGGCTTTTTGCCGGATTCGGAATAAATGATTCAGTTTGCTACATTCGGAGCTCTTAATTAGCATTTAGATTTCGGCGGTGGCGGAGGCGGTGGTGGAGCAGCAAAATATCATCACCTCGGGCCATATTGCCACAAGAAGCGGAGAAACGGAGCAGCTCTTATTGTTATGCAAATTCACGGCGTAATGTGCTGTACATAAAACATTCGCCGGGGCTTTTGTTACCACCGAGCTAGACGGAGGGAAAAAATGATTTTTCTTAATGCTTCCGAGGGAGATAAGGCAGTATTTTTTTCTTCACCACGCGGCTACAAGTCATTTTCCCTCCGATATACAAATGATCTTTTATTTAAATTAATGGCAGCGATATTAGCTCTCTCCCTTCTTTTTCTTCTCCTCTATTTTTTCTTCTTTCCCTTTCGGAAACGAAAAAATAAGACGAGCTTCCTAATGAATTCATATTCCCGCATGTTAAACGAGGATTTATTACAGTTATCAGGCAAATTGCATCACGTCTCCTCTCGTTCTCCCATTCATTCTAGCCACCCATTCATTCATTTGAACAAATCGAACCGGACGCCGGGAGAAAATTACCTGGCTGTCAAAATAAACACGCCGGCATGAGTAATTGATGCGTGCACGGTCCGACGAAATTGTAATATAACCAAAGTAACCGAGCCTTTCAGGAAATTATCATTTCTGCTGAGAAATGGTTTCTCTGCGGGGCCCAGAACCACAGCTCAAAACCACAAATCTCACAAAAAGGAGAGGGAGAAATTTCTAGAAATAAATTGAAATTTTAATAATCTACTGCACCGTAGTGCATTTCTGCTCAGCTGGTTGCATATTTACTCTTCTTATAGTTTTTTTCTGCAATACTTAAATTCTACCTGAAACAACAATCTGTCTCGTTGTCCCCCACAACTGGCTTTGGACAGTCGTTCACTTCCAAGAAAAGCAAATTATTCCCCGGGGCTTGTACCGAGCTGCAAATCTGCCCCCAGGATGATCAATCGTGCAGTGTGTTGTGTCTTGGCCGAGCTAGTGAGCGTCTCTCGTTGTATTAAAATTACCACGCCCTGCGCCCGAGAAACACGAGCAAGAAAGTGGTAGCGGCAGAAGTTAGTTTACCTGCCGTAGAAATTAATGTTGTTGTTGACAATAATGAAACTGGAGATAGAACGGCGCAGCGAGGAGATAATCTCAAGATACTAATAAGGCGTGTATTTATTTGGAGAGGCTCCCTCGAGTTTAAATGCATGCATCATTCAAGAAACATGAGGCAGCCCTTCCGCTGGTAAACAAATAAATGGACGGACGCCGCGCAACAAACTCGAGAGCGGCTAAATCGGGCTCGAAGTGGAAAAATTATCAACTGAGGAGATCGGCAAAAAATGAAATGACGCTTGACCACCAAGTGAAAGGGTTTGTTTTTTATATGCTACAAACTAATTTCAAAGTAAGTAACACAATTAATATAAATTTTAATATAAAAGCTTTGTTATTTACTATTTGATCAAATTTATTTTTATTTTTATTTACATTTTTTTTTAAATTTTAAATTTAATATGATCGATTAAAATGTGCTTATTTTTTCTTCTTGGTTCTACTCCATACGCTTCATACTATTAATAACATATTTGAAAATTAAGTAAACTTGCTTTCAAAATGATTTATTAATACAGGCCCAATTAATACAGGTCAAGAAACTTAGGTTAAATTCTCTTGTGGTAAATCGTGTTTATCAGTTATCAAATGGGCAATAATTAATTAAGCTATTATGTAAATTATGACATAATTTAATTTAGAAAAATATATCGCAAAAGTCATATCCATCATATTAAACTAATTATATTGAAGCAAAGTTTGGAGAAAATGATTTCTTACTGTCACTTTACAGCAGTTGAAGTTTAAACTTCCAACTTCATGAGCGATTGGGTTGCCTGCCAATTACTTCTTGGCGAAATCCACCACTACTTCAAATTGAATTTGCGACAGTTCGAGGAGTATGCAATTTCTGCTCCTCGGTTGCATAACTCCCGGGGCAAATTAAATTGTGTCGTGCGCACGATTCATTTAGCGTGCCATAAATTAGAGGGTCATATGTACAGTCAGACACGGATATAGCAACGCAGCGCGAGGAATATTCGCTAACGAATCACTTTGCAGATAATTAAGGAGCGCGTGCAATCCGACCGAGACTCTCTCTCGAGGCAATCAAAGTGGAGCTTCCAGAGTGGAACAATTCAATTAAATCGTCGGTGCTCCTCGTAAAAGTTAATATCACCGAAGGGGCCGCAACCCTTTCTGACCACTCGGCCAAACGCAAGCGCTAAAATTAATTTCAGATTTCTCATAAAAATAATTTCCTGCCCAGAAAATGCGTCAGTTTTTTCACTCCACACATGCAAATTTTCTCTCGCGGCGTCAAAAATTACACAAAAAGCGAAACACTGCTTTTCTTTATGACAAGTATGTTTTTGTTCTTTTCCCGGCACACTCCTCATCTCTTTTGACGTTGGGGGAGAACAATATTCATAAGTGGATTTCCATTCCGTCCGCACGTCGCATTTTTCTGATGTATTTGCTCTGGCTCTTTTTTTTGTTATTGATATGCAAACAGCATTTCTGCCGCCGGAGCCGCAGGCAAGAAAAAATAATATTGTTTTAATAAATTACGCGTCGGGCCTTTTCCTATCCGAACGCCCCCTGGCGCATTTATTTCATCCCCCGGGGAAGCCTGCAGCAACCCTTAAAGCATACAGACCTTCGAGGTGTATGCTAAGTGCTACTTAAGTGTGTGGGCGAGCGAAATGCGATACGGATATAAAAAAATCTCAAAGGAAGAAAGAATGAAAGAAAGAAAGTACCCCGTCGGAAATAAAAAAGTAAAAAGTTTTTCCTCAGCTGCGGCCGTGAAGGAAAAAGTCGTACTATAAAAATCTGCTGACAAGTAATGAAAAATAATTGGCAATATCGCGGCGACGGCGGCGGGAATAAAAATTAAAAAATGCAATAAAAGTCTGCGCCGGGTGGATTTATAAGGGCGTAAAAATTAGGAGGGTGAGTGCGGAGTGGTGTCGCCTTAATCCAAATGCGGCGCCGCGTCTTGGCGGCGCGCTCGGCTTTCGACTGTCACTGCGGAATGATTTATTTCCAAATAATTATCCGGTGGGAAAATCGACTCTCTTTTTTTGTAATTCAATTACGCTGAGCTGAAATAAATGATTGCCGACGGCGGCGAATCCAAATCCCGAGAGTAAAACGGATTCCGTGTATGGAAGAGAGATCTTATATACTTTTTCTAATTATCGCGCGAGGAAACATTAAAATCTTTATGCAATATTTTAATCCCCGAGCGGGAGCACCTTGCCGCTTTTCTTCCCCTAATAATAATATCAGCAAGGGGTGCCGTCGGGATAGAATGGGGGTGGTTTTGTGTCTTATTATTTCTTGATATTGTTGCTCGGCGGCGGCTCTTTGCCTTCAACCGTTCCATATCTCTTGAAATGCGTGTGTGAAAGAAGGGGTGAATATTTAAGGGTGAATCAAAAGCTGCAAAGAGTAATCAACGGGTTATGCCGTCCGCACGACGAAAACACAGACACACACACACATCCCGGGCATAAATTATGCATGCTCGCTGCGAGAGAGCCTCTTTACTTTGGCGCTCTCTCATTTCGCGCGAGCAGAGGCATTTTTACGAGTCGATAGCGCGTCGAATGGGAAAAATTCTGCGTCGAATTTACGACCGTATTGAGAGTGGCTTTATCAATAAAAGCGCGTGAATCATGAGTGCGCCGGATTAGGATTTCTCAATGGCCGGATTCCCTCTAGAGAATATTATTATCATTTTTATTATGCATCTCTCGCCGGCCTCTCCGATTTCTCTCTTGCTCTCGGGGGCTTCAATTTGCCTGGGCGGTGATCGTAATTTTTCATATTGGGGTGGCAGAAATTTATGGCTCTTTTTGATTTCTCCTATAAGAAATTCGGAGGTAATCCAAAAAAAAATATTCCTTCAAATATTTACTTAGTTCATAATCATATTTCGTCAGAATTGCGTCAGAAATAATGGAATTTTTTGGTATAAGATTCAATTTATCTAACGGTAACAAGTTGTTGATTTTAATTATAACACTCGTAATAAAAAAAAAAAATATAAATTAGATAACTGCTACAGCTTTGTTTTAAAAACTAGTTTTAAATTAATTTTAAAAACAATTTGTTTACTATATATTTTCCAAATTTGATTTTATTGAAAGGAAAATTTATTTTTAATTATTAGCTTCTTAAATTCTTTTAGGACATTTCAACACTAATTTCAATAATTTGTTATAAATTATATATTAAAAATCTTGAGCCTATTCCAATGGATATGCTGAATTCTATAAGATTTATCTGATCTTACCTAATCTTCTCTAGGGAACATTTATTTTTCTAGCCAATCCATGAAAAATTATTTTGCAATTTACTATTATCATGATAGTATAAACTATTTTATACATGAAAAATAATAATGAATTTCAAATATAAACTTTAAATTTGAATCAAGAAATACACCCACATCCCTCAACCCGAAAATTCAATTTGCATAATGAGCACGTGCGCGGCTCATCTGACCCCTGCTCGCGCCCCTTCTCTCGTTTATGCGCGGAAAGCACTTTTCGGTCGGAAGGAATCAGCAACCCGGCCGGATTTGAATTCACCCACTCTCGCGACGTAAAACAATAGGAAACCGCACTGCTGCGCTTAGCCGGCGAGGAATAACGCCGTGTGCTGATTTTGATGGCTGTGCTTCTTGTTCTTGCTCCTCTACGTCTCTCTCTCGCTCGCATTTCGCCTCGAGGGGTTGTTACTAAATAACTAAAGTGTAAATCTGATGAGCTCAAGTAGTGGAGCTATAGTAGTCGGAGAAAATCAACAGCCATGAGGCAAAACCCGCCGCTCGCTGCTCATCTCTGCGCAAACAGATTAATTTCTTTTGCATCAGCAGCTGCCGAGATTAATCATCTTCACTCCTGAGACTCAAAATCATCGTTTCGAGAGCTCCCGCGGAAACACTCGTTTAAGTCACTTACTGTTATCAAACTTGACTAGCACTGATTGGTTCTTTTTCTTTTTGCTCTTGCGGAGAATGGATATATTTTATTTTAAATTTCCCACACGGACCAGTGACAAGTTAATTAAAAAATCTCAACCGGCCAGCAGCGATAATAATTTTCATTGACGTGTGCTGATGAGTATAAATATTACAAAAATAATTGGCACCGAAAGGTCCGCCGAGCGAGAGATTGCCATCTCCTGCACGTCTCATTCGAATAACGCAACACAAACAAATTATATTTGAATAAATTGATACTCTCGTTACGGCCGCCACTTATTTGTTTGTGTAACAAATTAAAATTTATTGCCTTGCCGATGCAGAAATATAAAATGGATTGCCGCATCGGAGATGAGGAAATTCACGCGCAGCATATAAAATGTAATTGCGGAGAAAGCGATTTTAACTTTATCATTATTATTGAATGCTTATTTATAACTGGTTAATTTCAAGAATATATATCTTCAGCTTCAAGAGTAGATTTCTCGTTTGAATCGACTTGCTGTTGAAGTGAGAGAAAATTAACTTGGCTGTCTCCTTCACGTTTGATTCGCTGGTAATAAGCATTGAGGTGAAAATAAAAAATATATAAAAAGCTCTTATGGGCGCCGCATTCGTTTGTAATAACATTTTCGTCTCGCTGTGATTGCTAATTAAGAAAATGGATTTCGCAAGAGCTAATTTAACGAGAATCTCGTTTTGCCATTCCGACATACACAGCTGCAAGAAAAAATAAACACGCGAGCCGCGAGTACACGCATTTTAATAATATATTATCTTTTCTGCAAATGGTTAATGAACTTTTGTTGCTGGACACGCTGCTGATTTTTTCTCTCTCTCAATCCCAACCTTTGGTTTTATTCGTTTATAAACGTCAAGGCGAAGAGACGCGCCGAATAAGTTCAAAAGGTTACATGAATGAAAAAAAAAGACGTCTTAACGCTATAGCTCTCCGCACCGCCGTGCGAGTTTATTTTTTTATTTTAGTTTATATATATTTTTTGTCTGTTTCTCTTTATTGCCGAATGTTATTTCTCGCGCGAAATAGCAAAAGTAATCGCAATCGCAGAGGTAAAAAGCAGGGTTATCTGCGAAATAAGTCGAGTCGTGACTCGCGATGAGAAAATCCTCTTAAAGCCTTATCTTCCTACACACTGCACGTATTTTTCCTATAAGAAAACCGCCGTATGGAGAATAATTTTCTTCTCCACTCGGAGAGAACGAGCGCGTGCGTAATTAATTATTCTGGGCACACTCATTAAAATTTATAATCCTTTACGTTTATTTATTTGTTTGTGCGAATTAAATATTTAAAAAGGTTTTGCTCCCATCGATTTATGGCCTCTGTGCTTCTCTGTAATTAAAACGAGAGGCTCTTTTTATACATCTGTCCGGCCATTGCATTTATTTTCTTTCCTCTTCTCATTATTATCGGAGTCTTGACAGCAGAAAAATTGCTTTTTTTTTCAATTTTAATTATTTTGGGTGTTTGCTCAATAAGCAATCTCTTGCAGGAGTTTGATGTGAATAAATGAATGTCATGTTTAACAAGAACTGAGAACCCTAGATTAAATATGTGGGACTGCAAAAGAAAAAAAAAATTCAAAAACTCTATAGCTACGATACCCGTCTCCGTAAACAAACCAAACCATTAATGTCACAAATTAATAATAAATTCCTGTTAACAAATAATTTGTATATTCTGAAAGATAGTATTAAATCTGGTAAAAAAATTATTCAATTTTTTGATCTTTGAACCCTTGAAATTAATTCCCATTTCCTGTCTCAGGTTGTAATTTTAATATCGACCAAAGGTGCACTCACCATAAATGAGAAGGAGTTTCCAATCGAGAATGACTTCTCAATATTGCCGAGATAAAATCAACTCCTTTCGTTTCCACCACTCGTTTTTAATATCAAGAGGCCGAAACACGCAGAACAAAACGAAGAGGAGTGGCTCCAAAATTAATTAATGGTAATTGGTAAAATATCAATTTTCTCTTAATTTACCGGCCGAGCCTAATTATTGTTCGCTGGCTATGCGGCAGAACAAATAACTTTAATTTATTTTGTTTTAATTTTCTCTAGGAGCGGCGTTTGATTGTTTGTTTATCCTCTTGGCCGGTTTTCTCTCTCTCTCTCTGACGCCGTGCTAATTAGCTCATCAGTCGGGACATCTGCTCGAATTAATCAAAACGACTCCTGCGAATTATCCACGCTGAAACCTACAGGCGGATTTGCAAAAACACTAAATAAATAATGGCAAAAATATCTTTAAGAAAAAATTTGCAGGCCGAGATTTACGATTCATAAATTTGCGCAATCAGCAGGCGCGAAGATCGGTAAAATAATTATTGGCTGACAAAAATTGCAACGGCCGGTGGAAAAATCAGGCAATAAAATACGCGAATTATTCCCAGTGATGTAATAAACAGGATTTTTTTTCCAGCGGTGATCGGAATTTTTCACACACTTGCGCCTGCGAGTACAATATTTATTTGCGAGAGCGTAATGTTTGTTTATCCAGTCCATAAAATCGCTGCTATATGAATCAGCAGGTATGGGTGTCGGATTTTTATTATTGGCTGTAATGTGTCGCGCCGACGACGAGCGAGCAAGAAAGGGCCACACAAGGCGACAAAGCGTCGTAAACGCGCGCGCGGACTGACCTCTCTAATTCCAGGGCCAATATTCTCTCCTCAGCGTGAGCCGGCAGTTAAAAACACCCATAAACTGCTATCCGATATTTTATTTTACTTGCACATTTATTCGCGCAGGCCGGCGAGCTGCACTTTATATTGCTTTGCACGCAGGATTTACTGCCGACTTTGTCTCACCAAAGGCACAAAGTGTGTAAAATGACGCACACAATATAATTGCAGTGGGACGGTGTTGAGGCAATTTTGCTCTAAATAGAAATATAAAAGCAGTACTAAAATTTATATCATTTGGCAGAGCGACAGTTCTGGGCCATGTCAATAAACTAATATTATTTATTTTGAAATAAAGTCTTCTAAAAATAATAAAAAGAGTTTGATACTTTTCAATTAATTTAATTTAATACGATTTATTTAAATTTGAAGCCCAAAACTGCTGTTTTAAAAAAAAAAAAAAAAAAATAAAAAAAAAATCTGGCTTTTTCGCCCTACCTTTCTCGTAGTTGATTTGGCGCTCCTGCTGGCGTGCGTTGTCCGCAGCGACCTTCAGCAGGCCCTGGATGTTCCTCAGGAGGGTTTCGGTGGATGAGATGTTGCCGCTGGGGTCGACCACCCCGCCAGCAGCAGCCGCCGCCGCACCGACCAGGGTCGAGTAGTTGAGGGCGGCGGCCTGCTGGTGCGAAAGGCCTCCGGGGGCGGCGCGGCCCCCGTGGTCACTGCCAGCAACACTGGCGTTCAGTTCGGCTGCGTCGCTCAGGTCTGCAAAATCACAGAGCAACATGTTTGAATTATTGCAAGTTTTAAACAATATTAAATAATAAAATTATTAAACTTTATTAATATTTATAGATTTTGTGAATAATGCTATTAAAATTTCTTATAATAATTTTAAAACAATTTCATATTGTATTACTTAATTAATTTTTTTCTAGTACAAAAATTATGACTTTTACTAACAGTAAGGTAGGTTTTTAATTTTTAATTATTGGTAAAAGATTTTAATTTATATTTATGCAAAGCAGACGAGTGTAATAATTTTTAAATAATACACTACAAATGAACTGGATGATGGGACTTCAACATTGGACAAATTGTGTATAATTAAAGATTAAACATGCTATAAGAAATGTTGTAATAGCAACAAATACTTTTAACAGATTACAAAAAAAAAAACTTAAAAAGCTGCTTTTTTATTTTAATTGCAAAAGGCAAATGAAAAGTTTGAGATGTGTTTGAATTTATCTATGCATTCTTTTGTAGTTTACAGCTCGTTGCATGCTTCTGGCGTTTTACCAATAAATGCAATAAAATATTGTTAATTTTTTTTACCGTGCTCCTTCTCATCCTCTTCGTCAACGTCGCTGACGTTGTCGTCGTCGTCGTCGTCTTCGGGTCCTGTGTGACCTCCGGCCTCACTACCACTCTGTTCGCCGGCACTGCCGCCTCCACCGCCGCTCTTTGAGAGATTTAACACGGGGCTTTGACCCGCCGGCGACCCTGTAGCGCAAAATTGGCCCATTATGCGACCACCATTCGCTAATAAAAAGCACAAATTCGCCTCTTTACTCGCAAATAATTAAAACAACGGGCTTGTTTTTGAATCGCTAATTGCCGCGTAATTCATAGCCCGCAAATATTCGTCGTTTAATTTGATATCCCAATAAAGTGCGATTTTTACTCTCGCCACTTTTTCAGAACGTTTAACCTCTGTGTGAAAACTATAAAAATGTATTACTCACCATTTCTAGACGAACTGCTGAGATCCTGTGCCTTGTGGTTGAGGGCGAGCACCCTTTCAGCATCCCCTCGCTCGTCTCGTAACCTGCAACACAGACAAATTTCCTGTTTAGAAAATATGAAATTAAAAATCTGTGACCAATCTTATCAACAAGAGAACAAATTCACCTGCCGAGCACAATTCAGCGGCATTCTTTTTTTATTTCAGGAAGGAAACGACTCTCTGCACACTATCTAGGAGCAAATAAAACAGATTTCCTCTCTCGGCGACAATAGCATTGAAAAGTCCCAGGTGTTCGTATAATTGGACAGGCATATGAATTATTTGAGCGCTAAATGAGCAAAAAAAGATCTGGTGCGACAACAATGATAAGATAAGAGCGCAAAATTGAAGCAATATATTTTGGTATCATTACACGAGCAGTTACACTTGCAGTACCCCACAGAGATAAAAGCGGAAAAAAATATTGAATAAGCGTAAGCGCGAGAGAAATTGGCTGTTTTGTGACAGGTGCGGGCCGCGTTCGAGTGTGTTTGCCGATACGACTGATTTGACTGACGTCAGCCGAAATTATTTACACATGCACAGAAGCGCAGGCAACCCTTTCCTCCTCCACTCACTCACTCGCACATAAGTTATTATTATTTTCCATGTTTCCATATTGACCGAGCTGCCGGTGCGTTATTTATTCTGCTGCTTTTATGATAATCACGCGCTTCCTTTTTTCTTTATATTCGTACCAATATAGATCGACATCGCCTGCGCCATTTATTATTTATGCAAAGCGCCAAACAAAAATCATCCGCGACGGTGAGACGTCGGCACCCCTTGCGTCTGTTTTGTATGCGCAGAGTTGAGAGTTGAACGTGACGTTGAATTTTTATTTAAAAAAGAATGAAGAAAAAAAATCAAATTTCTTTTGATTCACAAATCATGAATTAAGAAGTCATAATATTTATTTTAAATGAAATTTTTAGCTTATTGTCTCCATGATTTTATTTTATTTTATCAGTTATCAACAAAATATTAATTTCAATTTCCAAAATTGCTGCAATAAGTATTAAAATTTCTACAATTTTAATTAGTAACTGCAAAAGTTTTTAAATTAAATTTAATGTGTTTAAATAATCAAAAACAAAATAATTTAATTTTTTAAGATTTTTTTCATAATATTTTAATTGCACAAATTATATGTTAAAATTAATTTTAACTAGTTTCACATACTGATTATTAAATAGCATGCAGAGTAAAAAAAAATGTTTTTAATTTTAAGTAGTCAAATTGTTAAACTGCAAATTTTAGTAGAGAATTTGTTATCACTTATCTGGAGAAAAGCAATTTGAATATGATCAAATCCACAAAGAACAAAACTTTTCCCTCAAAACAATTTAGATGGAAAATAAGAAAGTTTTGAAAGTTACCTTTGTCGTAAAAACAAAAATGCGCCAGTTTTGTGGTGACATAAAGTAAATTTATAAAAGGCTGCCGAAATTTCATTTTCGCCCTTGAAGGCTCTCTGCGGACAGCAAATTCCGCATTTTTGCTGCTGAGCTCTTTCTTTCGTTGCTACCTGCTCTCTCTAAGGCAGGCAATAAAAACTACTTTGGGGGTTGTAAAATATAGCTGCCGCTTTTAGGCCAGGACAAGTAAGTCGGGCGCAAGAGAGTGGTGCAAAACGCATAAAACAAAGATAATCCCGAGAGGAGAAGCGAGGAAAGAAAAACGCTGCAATTTGGAGAGGTGCGGCAAAATAACAACTCTCTGCCGGCAATAAATGGAGAAATACGAGCGGCGTGAAAAAGCGGCCAAATCGACTCCTTTTGTTTCAATTTCGGTGCTCCGGTCAAATGACGCCAAAAGCGAAAAAGAGCGAGCAGGGAGGGTTTAATTACCGCAGCAGGCGATGGATCTGATTGCTATCTGCGTGGACGCGAAATTATTCACGCCTCGCCAAAAATTTAGGCATGCACGGTTTGTCAACAACAGGTTCTACAGCTTTCCATTCATTCCCAAATCGGGCGCAGGAAATTCAATTACGAGTCTGCCTGGCAAAACTCCCCAACAGAGAGCGCGGTTTATTTATAATTCAAGTAGAGTGCGCACGACCGAAAGAGTTGCCACAGAGGGACGCAACTAATGAGCGGAAAAATCGATTGCTCGCAAATCAAAAGGGTTTAAATATTTTAAAACGGAGTTAAAATAATGCAAAAAATGTCAAAGAAAGAGAAAAATACAATTAATATTATTTAAAATTGATCTACCATAACAACTTGCCTCACAAATCAATTATAACTAACAATAATTTGCTCACATTTTTAATCAAAATTATTATTTCAAATTATTTAAATTAAAATCTTACTGAATTAATTTTGAAATAACGAAAAAATTTAGGTAAACACAATTGCTTAACCAAGAAAAAAATATTTGTTGGAGAAAATGAGAAAAACTTTTTCTTTTTATCTAATTTTTTCCCTCCGATCTTCGCCGGTCAGACAAATAAATTCGCCGCTTTTCGCCGTCCATTAGAGGCATGTTTGCCGTCTGATAAACAGCTCAAACACATTTGGCCCCTGCTCCTTCTCTTTTTCTCGCAGCTTTCCGTCTTCGCGCGCCGGCTGCAATAACGCCAAAATTGCTCCGTCTCTTTGCTCTCGCTGGCCATCTCCAATTTGGCCGATTTCCTGCAATTCCTTTCCAACCCTCACATGCCGCTTTCTAATCAAATCGGACGAATGGCTCTATTTTCCGGCACGAGATGGATCGCCCGGCGAGACAATCGTGAAAAATTGCACTCACCCCTAAATCCGACCATTTATAATAATTGCCGCCGCATATTTGCCTTGATCGATGTCGATTATTTTTTATATGCCAGTCGGCCAAATTAAACATACTGCCCGTTTCCAATCTCAGATAATTCGGAAGAATCCCACACCCCTCCAATTAATTTCCCAGCTCAAATTATTATTCGATTTCCTATACGTGGAAATTCTTGCGAATTTGAAAAAGGAATATATACGAGATAGAGAGAGCTTCGGACGCAAATTCAATTTCGTGCTCTACTGCGGAATTTTCGGTCCAGCATACATAAAAAGTGTGGATGTCGTAAAAGTCGGGCGTAATGTTGCAAAAAGGGATGAAGCATTGAAACGGCCCTTGAGCTTATGCACCGCTCTCAATAAATTTTTGGAAAAAGCTCCTCTCTCTTTCAACTTTTCTTTCATCGGGAGGGAAAGAGAGATAGATGGACGGAGAGATATTTTTCTGCAGATTAGGGATTACAGCCGCAGATCTGACGAATCAAACACATAAAGCATTGTTCAATTTTCATCTCGATTGAATTCGGCGGTGCGGGATTTTTCAGCCTTCTCCTTTTTCATTTCATTGCCGGCTTTGCTTATCTCCCCCTGTTCCGGCGAAAGTAGCATCTCATATGCCAATTAAGGCGGCGGTTTCCCTTTTCCCTTTTCTTTGTGCGGCGAATATCAATTATATTGAGCGGATTCGTAGCATCCAACCGTTTTTTATTATTGATTCTGGAATTTCGGCGAAAGAAGACGAAGGGAGGAAATAATTATTTCCCAGCACTGGTCAGCGCAAGGATTACTTGCTCATTACATTTCTAAAACCAAAAGCAAACGACGCCGGCCGAAAATACCAGAGCCACCGGAGAGGAGCAAGAAACGGCGATTATTAATTTTTGTTTGCAGCTCATTCAGTCAGCACTCGGAGACGAAATGAAGGGGGACGCGTGCGATGAAAATTGAAATTGGGAGAGCGAGAGAAACGTAATTATTATTAAAATACGCCGGAGCATGAATTCTTGTTTTATTGCTTTTCAAAGGAAACGGAGCGTAGGGGGAAAGGGTTGTTATTAAAATATAAGTGGTCGTTTGATACGTCTAGAGAAGAAGAAGAGACGAAACGCGCAGCAGATAGGACTGTGTAATTTGTAAAAGAGTTAGTTAGCACCTAAACGCCGCGGCACTTTTTGTGCTGCCATTAGACGCTACTAAATTTTATCATTATCACCTGCGCCCGAGGAAAAAATAAATAAAAGTAACACGCGCTCGGCGGGTTCGTCTCTCTAATTTTTACTTTTTTAATATCACACAGAGCTATCCACGGCATTCCCACCAATTTTTATTTAAATCAGCAGGTGCTCTTGTCAGTGGAGAGATAGTGCTTGAAATGCTCATTCCGTGTTCCGATTCGCATCTAATTGCTGGCTGTCTTTGCGAAATTGAGTCAATCAAAATAATGCTCGGCGGTTTAATTGCCGAGTGACCAGGAGGAACTAACAATTTTATCGCCTGGAGCAGCTGCGCTCTCTGAAGGGGCTGATTAAAAACGAAGAAGAAAAATGTTTGCGTCTAACGTTACTTGTTTGTATAAGAGAGAGGCGAGATATTAATTTTGACCGCAAATCATCAGGTGGAAAAATAAACAGCGCGGAAAGGTTAATAATTTAAGACTGTGAAATAGGAAATAATGAGAAATTTGATGTTTTTAATTATGCTTTCACATTTTAAATAAAATTTTAATTAATTTTAATTATGAATATTTTATAGTGTTTTATTATTTATTATTAATTTAAAAACAAATATATTGTTATATTTTTATTTGAGAATTTAAAATTCACAAACAATAATTCAGATCAATTTTTTTCTTCGAATCGGTTTTTGGTGGGAATCGTGCAACTTTAAACTGATTTCGCCTGCGGAAATGCGTTTTTGAAAAATGATTGAAGGGTGGCTATAAGCATAGGGGTGTGAATTCAAGCAGATCAATTGACTTCTTTCCAAGATTGCCTGGGTTGTTTGGTTGATAAACTCCGACCCGCACGTTGCCACCGTGAAATGGCGCAAAAAGCATTTTCAACTGCATTTTCTGGGATTGTAAATTTTAAACGGGAAATAATCTCGACCGTGTGCGGCAGAAAAAGGGGATAAGAAGCGGATGGTGGCGCGCGCCGAGCATATTTTCTTCTGCCTTATCTTTAACACCCTTATTCACACCATTTCTCGCAGCTTTTTTATTACGACCTGCTTTTAAACTTTTCAATATTTGCAGCGGATTCGGCACAA